ATTCATTATAATAATTTTCAAGAGGGGAAAGCCTTGAATTTTGAAGAACTTAAAGGTAAATTAAAAGACACTTCAGAAGTCGGAAAAGCTCATTTCCCGCCTTCTAGGAATCAAAATTTTCCCGGGGGAGGACCCCCGAACTCCCCTTTCTTTTTTGGGATTTATGGATTCATGGAAAAAAAATCGTATGCAACTACTCAATTTTGTTTATGTATGTATCAGCCGTCGGAAGCATTTTGCAAGTGTGTCCGGCCATTTTAATAAGAGTGGGCATGGGTGGGTGGTAGGGTGCAACACATTTTTTTTCCACCATAGTTGAAAAAATGGCTCCTCAGCCGGGAAATAGCACATGCATAATTTTAGAAAAATTAATGTCTTCACTTTTAATTTAAGGGTTACAATTTTTTATGTTGGAAGTAGGCCTAATCAGGGCCAGTTTGGCCATTATACTTTTGCCAAAATGTTATAATAGTTATTTTGTATTATACCTCTAAACAATTTCAAAATCAATCTTAAATATTGAAATTAAGGATTGTCAATAAAGTTGAAATGTACACGGCAATACAATAAATAGGCCTATATTACTTACACGTAGATATATTAGCCAATGCACTGTTTTGTGTATAGCGTCTTTTTCTATTGAATGACGATAATGTTAGTGGCAATGTCAGTAATATTTTAATGGAAAGACAAGTTGATGTCTGGCTACTAAGAAATGTTTAATTAAGAATAAATAAGAGCATGCAGTGACTGTACAACCATTTTAAATCATTTAATGTATTATTTTTTAATTTACATCTAAATAGAGAAACCTGAAGACCACATTTAGTACCCATGAGTTCCATGTCTCCCGTAGAGTCTCGCAATGGGGTCTCCTAGAAACTGGCAGGAAGAACTCCAGCATATTTTTCCCCGAAATAAACCATCTCCCGCAAATTCATGATGATATTTGCATGCTTTAACAAGTTTTGAAACTGTAATGTCAATCCCGTAAGAAAATAATGTATAGAATTTCTAAAGAAACCATTCTATAAAATTTCTACAGCTTTTCTATAGGCTAATTCTATATGATTTTCTAAACCAGCTTTATAGAGTTTTAATAGATTTTCTACAAGGTCGCTAAAGATGTTTTGATGTAGTTTAAATAGAAATCCTGAAGAACTCCGATAGAGTTCTATAGAGTGTTCTTAGAACCTCTAAAGAAATTTTGTAGAAAAAAAAAATTCCAAGAAAAATGTATAGAATTTACATAGAGTATTTGTATAGAAAAACAAAATTTTATAGAGTTTCTTTAGAAACAATTTTATTTTCTATAGAACTACAACAATTACTATAGAACTTTTTTTATATAGAATTTATATAGAATTTTCAATAATTATATCGACTTTTAAAGTTTTATAGAATTCCCATACAATTCTATAGAAAGTTAGACGAATTATATAGAAAAACTTATAGAAAATTACCATTAAAAAAATCTATAGAAAGTTGATAGAATTTTCATAGAAAAATACACAGGTTTCTATAAAATGTCTACAGAATTTTGAATTTCTGTTAAAAATTCTATAGAATTATTAGTATTTCCATAGAGATTATTTTATAGAAAAATATAAACATTCTAAAGAATACATATATAAAGTTATAGAATGTTTATAGAAATAAATCAGAATTCTATAGAGTTTCTATAGGTTGATTCTATATAATTTTCTAAAAGCTGACCTATAGAGTTGCTGTAGAAAATCTATAGGAATTCAAATGATTTCCTAATAGAATTCTATTAAAACTTTATATGGTTCTTTAGAAAGTTGATAGAAACTCTAAAGAATATTTTTAGAACCTGAACAAAACAATCATCTACTGTATAGAGTTTCTTTAGAACTTTATTTTGGTTTCTATAGATGTACAGAATTACAACTTTCAAAAAACTTTCTTTTAATAAAATGTCTTTAGGCCTATATAAAATATCTAGATTAACTTGTTGCAATGCCACTTTTTCTCTTCTCTTGCTTATTTCAATTGTATTGCACAGCCAGTTATGAAGTATTTATTTATAACAATCAGCTAAAACTTAATTGATATTACTTCAGATCATCACTGACAATGTTCTTGAAATCAGCTGCCATATCTTTCAACTTGATCAACATAGAAACTTTTACCGCTGCAGCACGTCTGAGAAGATATAATTAGATTAATAGATTATAGATTTGGGGAAATTTATTATAAAAATGTAATAAAATAAACATGCAAAACTACTTTATGGCTAGGACTAAGTCTTATGACTAGCCTAGGCCTAGGGCCTAAAGGTGAAGTATAGTGTATAATAAAATAGAGACACTTACTAAAACATATCCTATATACCATAAGTTGACAAGTTGCACTGAGACTGCCAGTGTGAGAACATCACTGACCGTGGAGCTATCACTTGACACGGGTTTGGTAGTTGGCTAGAAGCCCAGCCAGTTGGCTAGGGTTTACCTATGACTAGGCCTAGCCTGGGCTAGGGCCTGCCTAGGCTGAGGTACCTTCATTTTCTTCCTTGCAAAACAATATGAATGATGAGTGTGAAACATAATACCGGATCTCGAGTACATATAGTTCGTTTTCAATCCATTAATGAACAGAAATGGTATCGCAACAAACTTGGTCATGCGTTTTGTAATTCGACCATCTCCTACACACGTATGTACTGGCCTGTACCTCTGATATTCAAAGGGCGCGTACAGCCTATTATTTTATTGTTTAGTGGCGCGCTCACTCGCTTGTTGTGCCTATGGGATATCAGTGCGCCATATTCTGCACGTAGTGAGACTCTCAGAGTCAGCTAAATTATAAACATATAAATTAGAATACAAAAGAGGCCTATGGAAAATAACATTTAATAATGGTGGTCCTAAATATCAAGATTAAAACATTTCATCTTCTTACAAAAAGGCTGATTTTAAAAAGCTTTCGAACTTTGTTTTCTCGTTTTTTTACGTGAAACGCGATGTGTTTGTTGTTTGGTTCAGAGCTACCTAATTAGCATATTCATGCTCTATTTTGATTGCTAGAAACATCAGAGAAATGGATTTATGTTTTGTGATAATTTTAATATTGATTTTAATATTGAAGAGTTGTTTATAATATTTTCATAAATTTATAAAATAACCTTCAATACAATACGGCATTTACATAGGCCTATTATTTCAATGAAATCTGTCAACACGTTCTGTAAAACGTATATAGAATATGTATAGAATTTTGATAGAAATCCCCAATTACGATGTAAAAAAATTAATTCTATAAAAATCCATTTATAATTTTATAGAAATTGTATTATACATTCTATACATTTATCTGTTTAATTTCTAACGACTTTCTGAACAATTTATCAAAAATCGTTCAAAATTAAATAGAAATATAACGAGAATTCTATAGGATTTTTCTAAAAGAAAAATATGAAATTCTGTAGACATTATATTTAAAAAATCGAAAAAGAAAATATATAATTAAATCTATAAATTGTATAGAATTTAAATAGAATTCTTTCTATAACATATTTTTCTAAGCAATTCTCTATATAATTATATTTCTATAGAACTATCTCTATAGAAAATGGATGGGGTCTTATATAGAGAAAAAAATCTTGGATCAATTTCCTATAGAATTATATTTCTATAGAACTATCTCTATAGAAAATGGATGGGTCTTATATAGAGAAAAAATCTATGATCAATTTTCTATAGAATTATTATTTCTATAGAATTATCTCTATAGAGAATGGATGGGTCTTATATAGAGAAAAAAAATATTGGATCAATTTTCTATAGAATTATATTTCTATAGAACTATCTCTATAGAGAATGGATAGGTTTTATATAGAGAAATAATTCTTGGATCCAATTTTCTATAGAAGTCTATAAAAACTCATAAATGTCTATAGACTTTCTATAGAATTCTATAAAACATTTTACTTCGGGTTACGTCACATTATTTCCTAATGTCTACAAGTTAATATTGAAATAACTCGAACGGCTCTCAAATTTTAGCACCAGGTTTTGTCACATTTTCTTCCTTATGATTACAAGGTTCATGTTGAAGTAACTTGAAATTCAAACAAGGGAAAAACAAAATCACATTTCATACCACATCCTGGCAAGTTGTTTAGTCTCCGAAACAATACAGGAACTATTATTATCAAAATTAGGTTGTATTTGTTTACGTTAGTGCTAATTAAACTTCCGTATAAAATTATTAAATTCATAGAAGTTACACTTCGGCATTGTTCCTAGACTTCCACCTGATCCGATCGCCAATAAAGATTAGCAAATGAAAAACAGTTACCCACCAAAACGCATAAATTACAAGCCCACATGTTTGTTTACAAGCTATAAATATCGCAATAAGGAAATGTGAAACACACTGTTTAATCATCTTACCTTAAACTTTTCACGGCAACTGATGTAAATGTTAGCTTGGATCCATTGGTCGATTTTATCACCTGTCCTTTTCCAGATCGCTCTCGTATAGTTACCACATGAAAATATTTTGAGTTTTGGGAACTCATGTTGAAGCGGGTCATTTATGTCCCATAGGTAATATTTGAAAGAAAGGGTCCCTTTTCCCGTCGGCAACAGGAACTCCGGTGTCTTGGCCATTGAGCTGTGAACACCACTGTTAATTTTCGACGATTGAAACATCAGAAATATACCTTCAACGACAAAAATTAAAGGCATAAATCGTTACTGTTTCGCTACTGACCAATAATTTGTACAGGTTATAACAATTTATAATAAAGATTTTCTTAATTTTTTTAGTGTCCATGTAAAAATAAATTAGTCTTACTAGTTTGATGTTATAAATAAAACACTGGAAATAGACTAGTTTTATTTGACTTGACACTATCTTTCTTCTTCGGTGAAAGCTAGTGTCAAATCAAATAAAACCACGACTCCCTGTGTTTTATTCATATTCTGTGTATCATGAAGCAATAGTACATGGGATTAGGCCGGTTCATTGGAAAATTCGTTGATTTTTATGCACGGTACCAATAGTAACCTAGCTAGTTTAGTGTTACCAGTTATTAAAAACTTTCACATAATAATACCCTCCATATTGAGTCATACGTAAACATAAAAATAAAAGGGATTGTATGCCTACGAAATTAAAGTGATATTCAATTATTTTCAAATGTTTATTTTCAAGTTTATATTACATTTATATTGCAGTATAAATCTCGTTCCTATAAATAGAGAAACATAAATCAAAACAGAACAATTCTCGAATATCTATTTTAGATTTTGATTTACCTTCTGGGTCAGACTTGTCTCTGATCGGTGGGTTGGCGTTGGATTTTGTAGATGACCAGTATAGGCCTACCGATCCAACATCAATCTGCATTTTGCAAATTGTCAGGTTCTTGAAGTTACATTCGTACACTGATCAAATAGGGTGAAAAAATCAAAGAAATTTAGAAGTTTCAGACCGAGACACGTGGGAGAAACAAGCACAAGGAAGAAACATTCTGCGTGTGATGACACATCATAGCCCACCTAGGTCGAGATATTATTATTGTTAAATTACGTGAGGATGACGGTCGCTGTGTTGTCGAAATGCTGTTGATGTCAAAATATCGGTTATTAAGTTATGATGATGTCATTATTATCAACGTTTATGCCAATACAATAATAGATTATGAGAAATAATTAAAATAATATTAAGTCATCTTCCAAAAAGTTATTCCAATTATAGGCGATTACAAAGATTTATTTAATTCTCACACGGAATTTTAATTGGATTGGTATTTCGAAAAGTATGGAACACCTTTATGAAAACAAGAATTGAAGATAACTTACCTGTACCATTATCCGTACTTACAGCCGTCGTGATTTCGTTACCGTTTACCTGTAGGTATCTAGTTCTACTACTTAATAAAGCAACATATACCAAAAAAGTCAATTTCATATTGTTCATCGCAAGTGTATACCACCAACAATTCCAATAGACTTCCACTTACTATTGATGACCGCAGACCGTCACTCAATTTAATGCGAAGGTCTAACAGGAGACCATGAACTTCACTCCTTATGTCATTTGCATAATACCATATATGGTATGCAGTATGTATTACCCAGCGTGGTAAGCGCAGACAGCCTCCAGGCAGTGGTGTGCTATTTCATTTTCCTTGCAAAACCATCGCCAATCAAAACACCAATCCAAAAAACAAAATTATTTTGTTACGCTTTCTAAGTTCAGCAAACCCTTTGAACGCAATCATTTAAATTTTCCTCGTAAAAAGTATCGAGTTTGACACCGCATCATGAAAGTCGCTCTTATAGTTTCAGTCACGTACAGGCTATACTGATACATGGTCTATAAAACGGAGGTTAGTGGCCTACGTGGGAAGGGGACTTTATGAGCAACCAAGAAAAAGCCATAACCGATATACAATCCCTCCGCACGTACCCTGGGGGTAATTCACCTTTGAGGCCCTACACAAATACTATTCTCTTCACCTTGAGCGAATTGTTCAATCTGAAAATTATCCCATATAGGCCTACCTCTTTCTTCCTTCACGCTGCAATTGTTTTTCGTCCGTCCGTCACTCCCGACACTGTCTTTCTTCCTGTTCCTTGTCGCACAACCCGTTTCGCTTCTTCCTTTCTTCCACACTATTGAGTCTTGCCTACTCCCTCTCTCTCTCGATCCGTCTCCGATTTCCCCTGTTCTCCTCAAAATGTTGAACTACTGATGATAGACCTATTTAATCCCCCAACATTCAACCTGCCCATAAATTGTTGGAAATGTATCTGTACGTTTATTTATACTGTATTTATAATATCTATTGTTTTTTTTTAACTTCTTAAATTTCTTGTTTAATGAATTACGGTAAATGTGAATTTCAGAATGTAATTCCAAGCGGATATTGGCCTTCAATGGCATTTAAAGCACGAAATAAAATTGAATTGAATTTTTCCTAAATTTATTTTAAAATAGGCCTAGGCATATACCTCGTAGGCCTATACACCTGGATAGAGTGGGACAAACACGTATAGATATGCTTAAAGATCCATTCGATGCATTAATCGGATTCGATCATAGGCCTACGATTAAAGCGGCTTTATCACTGCGCCACATTCGATTGATTAGATACAAGATTGAGCGCCCATTAGTTAAATGTCTACGTAATAAAATGATGATGCAAGACGCGCATATGCGCATAATAGCACCAAATGATATATCCAGAATTAAAATTACGGAATATCATTGGCAAAAAACCACAGGAATGCCAACAAAGATTGATTGAAAATTACAATATATCGTACCGAATAACATCGGCAAAATTTCATTGACGAAATTGCATTGAGAGAATACCGGTAACAAAAATGGAATGGCACTTGACGAATAACATTTACGAATTATTATTTAAAAACATAATAATATATAAAGTGAGTAACGAATTGGCGGAAGGACATTGGACATATGAACGTTGTTTACAGAATAATAGACATTATTTCTTTATATTTTTACCTATAAATACAATAGTTAATGTCATTGAAGAAATCGTATTGGCAGAGTAACAATGACGGAATGGCAGTAACGAATAACATTGACGCGTATCCTACTGGTGTAGGGATATCAGTAATGAAGTAGCGGAAGGACATTTGGCATTGAACGAATTATGCTTGATAAAATGACGTGAAAACCCTCGAATCCTGGTCATAGTTAAATATACTTGAACATTTCGTATCTTTTAGTTAAGTTACTATAGTTTTTAATTAAGTGAAGACGTAATTAGAAAATACAATTACATCGTCATGCATGGTTCCAAATTATAACTGCTATCGTCGTCGCCGCTGTCGCCGTCAATAATTAATAATGACGTTCATCGTAACATTTACCGAATGAGTTGAACAAAGTGATTGTAAGTGTAAGAGTTAGCAAGCAGAGAAGGAAATAATATTTGCCAAAAAGATCATTTGTGTATTTCAAAGAAATCATTTACTTTTGTTTTTATACTGCTCCAAGTTGTTGTTAACGTATGACATTTCAAGGAAACCAAATTCAGCCGACTGGCGGTCAATTTTCATTTCTATGTATTGGACACTACATTGATGTGACGAGTACAAAGTGAAGCGGGTGATATTGTGTTGCAAAATAGGCCTACGTCTAATCTTCCTATTGTGATTATAGTCAATTACATATTCATCAGTTAAAACGTATTGAGGCCTGGTTCACATTTGAGCATTAATCCGATTTTTAAGTATATACCGTATAATATAAACGTTTGTTTTTGTCATTTTTTGTTCGTTATTCCTAATTATAGTCTTTTTTATTTTTGTGTATTCCTCTATCAGTATCATAGAGAAATATATAATGAATGGAGGATAATGCAATTATTTTAGTTGACACTAAAGCTATTTATTTGGTTGACGCTACAAGACACACTTAATATTTCCTGCGTTTGTAGCGTTGCCTGTGTTTGCGTTAAACGCGTCTAAATATTTGCTGCGAAGCAGCCAATTCATATTCTTGACAGCAATATTGACCTCTGAAAGGTAATTGTTTGTCAAAAAAAAAACAATCGCCTAAGCCGATGCGCGCTATAGTTACACCCATAAATACTTAGGCCCCACCATAAATTACATTCTAGAGCCGCCACTGTGTATAGGGCCGCTAACAAAATCTATAAGATTTTACATGCCTATCATTGTGTTTGAAAAAAGTGGAGGATATGCTTCTTTTTAACCATTTTATAATAAATACGTAAGAGTCAATGAGATTTCTAGTTCGTCGACAATGTTGTTGTATAGGCAAGATATACAGACAGCATACGTTTCCGTTTACGTTTCTTATGAAAAGATGACTTGGAGTCAACTTTTCATAAGAATCGTTTGCAACGCAACGTATGCGAGTTCATTCAACAAAAAGTCACTAAATCGCGGTTTCCTGTCAAATAGTGGAAAATCGACGTATCACATGAAAATTTAATACGTCGGTTTCCTGTCCAAAACTGTTTTGCGACGATTTTAGTTTACGTTACGTCAATTTCACAACGCACCAGTCGTAATCGGTTTCCTGTCAAATCGCATTTTCTTACGATAAAACGACGTAATCGTAAGTAAATCTGCCTTCTTACGTCGACAGGAAACCAGGCTTAAGACAACTGAAAAGCGGAGTTTCCTTCTTTCGTTCTGCCGGGTAAAATCAATTACTTTAGGCGACGTTTGTAGACCAACCAACGTCGGCATGTCGCGACGTTGGAGTACTATTCAGCGTTTTTACTATATTTCTAGGTTTCCTATTTCTACGTTTAATCGGCTCATGTCTCAGCCACAATATTTTGAGGCCAATATTATTTACGAACCCAGTTAAACTTATTTACTAGCCTATTTCAACGTGCTAATTATTACATTTAGGTGA